CCCCTGCACTCTAGCCTGGGCGACAGAGTGAGACTCCAATTCAAAAAAAAAAAAAAAGAATATGGATCCAAACTAGAGTTACTAATTCAGAAATCATTCCCAGGCTAGTTGAAGCCTTGAGAATAAATAATATTGTCCAGGGAGAGGAGGTGAAAAGAGTGAGTAGATTGAAAAGAGATCCAAGAGCAAATATCCCTTTGGACTAATTTCCGTTCTCAGCTTGGAAATTTGCACCAATTTAGACCAAATAAAATCAGCCTTGGACTAATATCCATTATCAGTAGACAAGCTGAGGAAGAGCCAGTGAAGCTGACTGAGCAGGCCACGAAAGAAAGGGAGGAGAGTATTCTAGAGAGGATAGCAGTATCGAGCCATAGAGAAGTCAGGTAGGGAAAGGTTGAAGATGTCTATTGATTTAGCAGTAGATCATTGATTACATTCAAGGTAGACAGCTCAGTAGAAGTCGTGGATGCTGAAGCTAAAATTTCTGTTTTATGAATTGAGTGGCAAGTAATCTAAAGGCTGCAATTTTAGGTAATTTCTCTGTAGGACCTCAGTGTAAAGGAAAGTGTAGCAGCAAGAATGGATGATAGAGGAATAGAAATTAGTGTCAAGAATTTATTAAATTTAAGCCAGACTCGGTGGCTCAGCCTGTAATCCCACGCCTTGGGAGGCTGAGGTGAGTGGATTGCCTGAGCCCGCGGGTTCAAGACCCACCTGGGCAACTTGGCAAGACCTCATCTCTACAATAAATCAAAAAATTAGCTGGGCGTGGTAGCGTGCGCCTGTAGTTCCTGCTACTTGGAAGGCTGAGGTGGAAGGATCACCGGCACCCAGCAGGTCGAGGCTGCGGTGGCCGGGTGTGGCCACTGCACTCGTCTGGGCGACAAAGTGAGACTCCAACTCAAAAATAAAAAATAAAAAAATAATTCATTATATTTATAATGTGGAGGGAAGGAGCCACAGGTTACAGGGGTAACCAGTGAAACAAGGTCTCAGAGAGGAGGGAACCCCCCTCTTGGATAGAAAGACTAATTCTTGAACAATATAGGAACACCTACTAAAACAGAAGAAAGCAAAAAGGGAAATTTTTGATGTAAATATGTTTTTAGGTATGGTCATGAGAAGTTGTCTTTAGTATATTCTGCTTTTAAGTTATGAGCTTTGCCAGTAGCCAGGCTAGACACATTTTTACTTGCTTTGATGATGGTATTGCAGTAGAGGACTTAAGCATAAGTCATTTGGGAGTTAGACACTTTCAGTTTGCTTGTTCCCCCTTTTTGCTAGACTGGAAGAATAAAGGTAGAGAATTAATCCTTATAAATACTTGTGTCTCAAAGTAAAAGCTCTGAAATGGGCATGAGGAAACGTGCATGTGCAAGTGAAGATCAATAACTGATGTTAATGCCAACACATCTCTCAGTGTGCTTGTGAAGTTCATAATAGGTGCTCATGGCTGTGAAGTGCCCGTAGAAGACAGGGAGGACCCTTATTCCTGTAAACTACTTAACATCACGAATCCAGGTAAGTCATCTTTTTCCTAAGACTGCCATATACAAGTTTGATATTGAATAAAAGTTGCTAAGTTTAATGGTATGGCGTCTGTTTTAACAAACTAAATGTCTTTCATCAAAATTTATGTTTCATCCTTTTTTACAGGTTGACTTGGCAGGGTCTGTAGAGATTTTTTTTTTTTTTTACAGACACAGAACTTTAGGATCCAGAGAAGCTTATTTTTCATTGTAATTCAGATGCATGTGGAAATTTCTTAGACTTAGATAAATCCTGAATTACTGAATTTTGAGCTTTTGGAAAACTACTGATTTTACCAGTTAATTTATGATAGCCTTCATAAAAATATTGTGTATCAACTTCCTCTTAGAATTATTTCCTAAGTTTCTGCAAAAGAAACAAGTAGTAAAAAATTAAAAGCACAAGTAATACTATTTATTCCTTAGAATTAAAAGTTTGTAGGGATACTGGTGAGGATGAAGAAATTTGATCTTAATTAGGTTCTCTGTGTCATCACGGAGTCAAATTTAGAAAGTTAACAACTTGGTAACTCTGTTTATTAGTACTTTCTGTTATGTTGAACTGTTTTCTAAACGAAGTTAAATCTTTCCAAGTCTTAAATGTGTTGATATGCCTTCTGGTATTTTAAGATTTGTTGAAACTTTATGATTAAATAACACTCCAATTTTATAGACAGCAAGAATGTACTGAGTAAGAGTGTGGGCTCTGAAATCCAGTCTCCATGCTCTAAATCCAGCCTCTGCCATTTTCTAGCTGTGTGTCTCAGTTTCATCATCCGTTAGCTGTGGTAAAAGCATCTGCCTCACAGGGATTGGCATGAGGGGTGAAATAAACTGATACATATAAAGTATTTAGAATAGTTCCTAGGGCATGGTCGGTACTTAAATATTGTTGTTTTTAAAAGCTTTCCTTTTTATAAAGTTGGGTTTCAAACAGTGTTTTAAATAAACTGGACTGTATATTCAGCTCTACATTGTAAGGCAGAACATCTTACTTAGGGTATCTGCGAACTTAGTTAACATAAGTAAAATTTTGTGTATAAATTGTATTCTGAGAAGAGGGTCCATAGTTTTCACTGGAGTCCCAAAGGGATCATGAACCTCATAAAATATTTTTTCATGGTTTATGTGGTAACTAACAGCAAGTTATGGTTAAAAACAAAAATCAAACAACAAAAAGCACCTTCATCTTTAAATTAACCAGAATTTTATTACCTTAAGTGCTATTATTCATTTAAAAAGATGTGGAACTTTCCATTAATAGGAAATTTTTATTTATGTAATACTTAGGTTGCAAGTTTTTAAAAAATACATATGTAACTCATACTGAACCTAATTTTTTCCTTTTGGTGATCCAAAAAGCACTTATGTTCATTACAGTACCTAAAGGTCATGAGCATCATCATGATACTGTGGATGTGTAGAAAGTTCGACTAATAGCACTATTAAAGCAACAGACTTTCCTATATTCAGGTAATTTCAAGTTCAAGGGACAGTTGTTTTAGATAGAAATGTTGAAGAATGCTGTATCTTACTGTGCTTGATCTATTGCTTTTAATAGACTGGCTTCTACTTTGCCTATATTAAAGAGAAAAAATTTGTTGTCATCCAGTGTATTTGGAGTCTAGACTCTCCAGCCAGGCTTGTTCAGCCCATGACAAAAACTGTATTTTCCTTGTTTCCCCTTCTGCTCATGTCTATAATTAGGTAGGAGCCATTACTTCCCTTTAGTTATATTTTATTTCTTCTTTTTTCTGATTCAAGACTGCACAAATCTTTAGTCATATTTTATTGAGCATATACTAAGTATAAAGTAACTTCTAGAAACTCTAATGTGGAGATCCAAATGATCTGCTGGAGTGTGAGGACAGAATTTCTATTTATCTGAAAATGTAAAAATATATTCTTTATTGTACTGAATATATAGACTGACTACAATATATGTGTAGATTTTGTAAGTTAATATTTGGGTGTGTGTACACATTTTTAAAACTGATCTGGTTGTATAATCAGCAAAATTTGAAAGCCACAGAAAGATTAAATATAAATATATAAATGTTTATAATATATAAAGAACTTTGATATAATAATCTTTTAAAATAGGTTTTTATATTATTTCTCAAGGTAGCACTGATATTCTGTGCCATATTAACTGCAGTATAATTTATCCTGATTCATTTAAGATAATTACAAAAATTATTTGAAGAGAACTGTTTTTGGCACTGATTAGACAGCTGTGAGGGATTGAAAAGAGGACTGACTTTGGAGTTATTAAACCTGGGCTTGGTTCCTGCCTCTGCCACTTTCTGTGGCCTTGAGTGAACTACTTAATATCTTTGGGCCTCACATTCTTAATCTGTAAGCAGGAGTAATGCCACCTGTACACAGTGTAATTGTAAAAATGCAATGGAGACTGGCACACAGTAGGTGGTCTGAAATGCTTACTATGTTTGATATGCTTATATTTTATCAATATTATATAACAAGAGCCTTTCAGTGTTCTTTGAAGTAATTCCAGTTTCTTTTGTTCTGTGATAATTGCCTGACATATCACAAATATTTTGAATTGCCTAACAAGAAGTAGGGTTTTTGGAATTTGCAGGGCAAGATCAAATTTACTGGTTATTTATTATGCAATTAGTACTGTTTTTATTGTCTCTATTTATCCAACCCTTCCAAATAGATGCCTTCCGGTTGACTTAAATTTAATATTCTTCTGTGGCATTTATATGTATATATGTATACATGTATATGCAAAACTATTAAAGCAGATCTGATAATTAATTAGATGTGGCTGAAAATTGTATTCTTAAATTTTAAAACAAGTTTGTTGCTGAGAAGCTAGCCATGTTTTTGAAGCATTTTTTTTTTTTGAGTCTCACTCTGTCGCCCAGACTGGAGTGCAGTGGCCGCTCGCAGCCTCGACCTGCTGGGCTCCGGCGATCCTTCCACCTCAGCCTTCCAAGTAGCTGGAACTACAGGCGCGCGCTACCACACCCGGCTAATTTTTTGGTTTATTGTAGAGATGAGGTCTCACCTAGTTGCCCAAGTGGGTCTCGAATCCACGGGCTCAGGCAATTCACTCACCTCAGCCTCCCAAGGCGCGGGATTTCAGGCTGAGCCACCAAGCCTGGCTTGAAGCATTTTTTTTAAATGACTGACATTTGTGAAAGAATTGTATAACAAATAATTATCTAGGTTTTGCTGTTAAGCCTACTTTACTACTTCTGATTAGTAAAACTGAGACTTACATTTGTTCTCATTACTTCCTTAGTTTTGAATCAGGAAATTGAAGCATTCAGTCTTTCTGAAGACACTTCATCAGGACTCTCTGAAGACCGAGTTGTCAGTGTGAGTTTCCGAGTTCTCTACCCAATCGTTATTACCAGTCTTGGAGTTTTCTATGATGCCAGCGATGTGGGTTTCCAGAGAAACATCACTGTCAAGCTTTACCAGGCAGAACAGGAGGTATGCACTGTTTTGTGGGACTTCCTTCATTTTTCAAAAATTGGTAATGGATATCAAAAGTTCGGAACTTTTAGGATAAGTGAGTATTATTATATCTTTCTTCCAACTTTAAAAATATAATACAAGGCTAATGGCTGCTTCAAATCTTTTGTAATAAAGATATAGAGGGAATAAGAGTTTTAAACCCCTGAGATTACTCTGTTCCTGATATTTGGGGAAATCTGATTTGTTCTTCTGAAGTAGCATAGCCTGGAATTGTGTTTGAAAATATCTGTTTCTAAGTTTATTAGGAAAATATCTGTTTTTGAGTTTTGCCTACAGAAAAGTTGAAAGAATTGTACAGTGAACACCCATATTGCCACCAACTAAATTCTACAGTAGTTAACATTTTTCTGTATTTGCTTTATCGTATAAATATACTGGTTCGGTGGCTCAGTCTGTAATCCCGCGCCTTTGGGAGGCTGAGGTGAGTGAATTGCCTGAGCCCACGGGTTTGAGACACGCCTGGCAACTTGGCGAGACCTCATCTCTACAATAAATCAAAAATTAACCGGGCGTGGTAGCACGCGCCTGTAGTTCCAGCTCCTTGGAAGGCTGACGTGGAAGGATCACTGGAGCGCCCAGCAAGTCGAGGCTGCAGTGGCCAGGAGCGGCCACTGCACTCCAGTCTGGGCAACACAGTGAGACTCCAGCTCAAAAATAAATGAATAAATAAATAAATGAATAAATAAATAAACTGGTTCATCAATTTATCTTTTAAAAAATGTATTTCAGAGTAAGTTGCAGGGATCAGTACATTTCAACCCTAAGCACTTTAGTATGCACATCGTTAGCTATACTTTAATGTTTGTTACAGTTTTTAAAATTTTACATACAGTGAAATGTGTGTTCAATTTTTTATGTAACATAAACCCGTATAACCCAAACAGCTATTAAGGCATGGAGCATATCACCCTAGAAAGTTCCCTCATCTTTCTTTCTAGTCAATTCTTTCTCTATCCCCCAGAGTCAACCATTGTTCTGATTTTTTGTTTTACTGTAGACTAGTTTTGCCTGTCTTAGGACTTCATTTGTAAATGGAATCATAGTAAGTACTCTACTATGTAAGGCTTCTTTGACTTAGCATAATATTTTTGAGACTCATCAATCATGTTGTATGATTGGTGAATTTTTCCTATTCATTCTTTTAATTGCTAAGTAGTATTCCAGCAATATACAGTATTCGTTTTTTCTCTTGTTAATGGGTACCTGGGATGTTTCCAGAATTTCTCTTCTTTATTTTGTTAGTGTGATGAATTACATTTATTGACTTTGGAATGTTAAACCAACCTCATATTCCTGGTATAAGCCCCTCTTGGTCACAGTGTATTATTCTTTTTTATATATTGCTGGAAATTGTGTTTGTGGGGATAGCATATAGTTGAGTCTTTCTTTTTATTCAGTATGAGAATCTTTACTTTTTATAGGAAATATTTATTTCATTTACATTTAATACAGTTATCAAAATGGTCAGATTTCAGTTTTTATTTTGCCACTTGTCTTCTGTTTATTGTACCTTGTTATTTTTCTCTTCCTCCTTTCTGGCCTTTTTTTGGGTTCACTGAATATTTTGTAGAAGTTTGTTTTCATTTATCTGTTATCTTTTAGCTATAGCTCTTTGCACTATTATTTTCTGTGTGTATGATTGACATAAGGATTACAATATACATCTCAAACTTTCCTGTTTTCTTAAAATCACTTTTGTACCCCTTAAGACCCACCCAGGTGCTACTTAGAAGGCTGAGACAGGAGGGTCACTTGAGACCAGAAGTTCAAGACCAACCTGGCAACATAGTGAGACCATGTCTCTAAAAGAATTTTTAAATTAACCAGATGTGGTGACATTCACCTGTAGTCCCAGCTATTCAGGAAGCTGAGATGAAAGGATTGTTTGAGCCAGGAGTACAAGGCTGCAGTGGACTATGATCAGGCACTCCAGCCTAGGTGACAGAGTTGAGAAATCATCTTTTAATAAAACAAAACCAAGCCGGGCTCGGTGGCTCAGCCTGTAATTCCGCGCCTTTGGGAGGCTGAGGTGAGTGGATTGCCTGAGCCCGCGGGTTCAAGACCCGCCTGGGCAGCAAGACCTCATCTCTACAATAAATCAAAAAATCAGCCAGGCATGGTAGTGCTGCCTGTAATTCCGGCTACTTGGAAGGCTGAGGCGGAAGGATTGCGGAGCCCAGCAGGCGAGGCTGCGGTGGCCGGGAGTGGCCGCTGCACTCCAGTCTGGGCGACAGAGTGAGACTCCAACTAAAAAAAAAAAAAAATCAGCCGGGCATGGTAGCGCATGCCTGTAAATCCGGCTGCTTGGAAGACTGAGGAGGAAGGATCGCTGGAGCCCAGCAGGTCGAGGCTGCGGTGGCGGGAAGTGGCCACTGCACTCCAGTCTGGGCGACGGAGTGAGACTCCAACTCAAAAAAACCCAAAAAAACAAAAACAAAAACCAACCAAAAAAACTTGGGAGTTATATAGTTCCATTTACCATCCCTCAATTTTCCTGTTATATTTATCATACAGACTACATCTACGTATTCTGTAAATCCCACAGTAGAGTGTTACAATTTTCACTTTAAACAATTGACTGTATATTAAAGGAATTTAGAGGAAAAAATAGTCTTGTGTATTTGCCCACATATTTACAATCTCTAGTTCTCTTCGTTCCTCCGTGAATATCCAGGTTTCCATCTGATACCGTCTGCCTTCAGCCCGAATAACAATCTTTAACATTCTTATAGCGTAGTTGCTACGGGTGAATTTTCTTAGTTCTCGTCTTTCTGAAAATATTTTTTTTGACCTTTATTCTTTTATCCACCCCTCTATTCTTGGGGAATATTTTCTGGATATGGAATTCTAGGTTGATTTTTTTCTTTGCTTTTCCAATATTTTAATGATGCATTCTGTTGTTTTCTGACCTCCATTGCTTCTGGTGAGAAGTCAGACATCCTTCATATTGTTGTTTTCATGTATGATATATGTAAGGTGGTTTCTGTTTGTTTGTTTGTTTGTTTCCTGGCTGCTTTTAAGATTATCTCTTTATGTTTAATTTTTAGCAGTTTGGTTTTATTTTACTTTGGTGTAATTTTCCTTTATGTCTGTTTTACTCAGGGTTTGCCAAGTTTCTTTAATCTGTTAATATATGTCTTTTATGAAATTTGGAAAGTTTTCAGCTATTAATGTCTTCAGAAATTTTTTCAGCCCCACCCTCCTGTCCACTCCTTCTGGGATTCCCATTACATGTATCATGTATATTAGATCTTTTGGTACTGTCTCACAGATCATAAGACTGTTCATTTTTTTTCAGTGTCTTTTTTCCTCTTTTTTTCAGATTTAGATAATTTTTGTTAATCTATATTCAAGTTTACTGACTCTTGTCATCTTAAATCTGTGGTTAAGCCTATCCAATGAATTTTTTATTTATACATTGTACTTCTTTTAGTTCTTCAGTTTCCATTTAGTTCTTTTTTAGTTTCTGTTTCTCTATAATTAAGAAATTTCGATAAATATTAATTAATGTGTTCATTAATTTTGAGCATATTTTTCTTTACAGCCTTGACCGTAGTTATAATTTAAACAGCTTTAAAATACATGTTTGCTTATTCCAAATCTTCTTGGGGTCTGTCTTTATTGATTAGCATCTTTTCTCTTAAGTATGAGTTATATTTTTCTGTTTTATGTCACATCTAGTAACATTGGATTGTATCCTAGTGTGATAATTTATCGTAGGAATACTGGGTCCTATTGTATTCTTCAAAGAGTATTGATTTTTCTCGTTTCAGCAGGCAGTTAAATTGGCTGTCACAGACTAAACTCTGTCTCCCTTACAGTGGGCAGTAGCTGAAATCTCTTTGTTTTGTTTTTTTTTGTTTTGTTTTGTTTTTTGGCCTTAGATGAGCAGCTTGGGTTCTGCCTTGGATGTGTATTTCATGAGTCAGCTACAGATTTGGGAAGAGGTTATATGAAGAATTTGCAGCTCCCCTCTGTGAACCTTTCCTCTCTGGGAGGTTTTCCCCGCTTTTTCAGTTAATGTGTTTGTCTCAACTCTGCTGATTTTTCAACCAGAAAGACTCTAGGTTTTCATCCAAATTTTAACTGCCCTGGAGTTGTAACTTCAGACAAAGAGCCATAAAGGGGAACAAGGGGGCAGGATGACATTCAGAGCCTTTCCCCTCCTCCAGGTGTTGATTCTTCTTCAATTTTGCCTGTTTGTTCAAATTCCTATGCCCTTCAGATTACCCTTTTTTATTTTTTGTCCAGAGTTCATAATTATTATCTATAGGAAATTATTCTGATATTGCTAGAAGCAGAACTCAGTTCAGTTTTTAAAAATGTGTTTGTATTATTGTTGTTGATTTTTAGCAATGGATGCAAAAAGTATACATTCAATTAAGATTAAGTTTCTTCCTCTAAAGAATCTGTGTAGTTTGTTAATGCATTTATAGACATAAATATGAGAGCGGGAACAAATCCTAATGATTCCAGCCATTATGATTACAGTGAGAAGAGCTTTATCAACTTATGCAACTATAGTTCATTACTGATAGTGGCTAATGGTTTCATTGATAGTGTTACTCACATAGGTAACTGAAATAGCAGTACTCTGAATGTCACTGTTAGCTTTGTCTATAAATTAAAATTAATCTTGAGTTCTTTGATGCACTTGTTTAATTATCTTAGTATATATAGTTTGTTGTCATTGTTTTTGAGTTGGGGTCTCACTTTGCCACTCACACTGGAATGCAGTGGCACTATCACAGCTCACCACAGCCTCCACCTTCAGGACTTGATCCTTCCGCCTCAGCCTCCTGAGTAGCTGGGACTATAAGCATGCACCACCATGCCTGGCTAATTTTTTGTTTTTTTGTGGAGACGAGGTCTCACTATGTTGCCTAGTTAGGCTGGGGTATATAGTTTAAAAAAACTATCATGTGTGTGTTCTCAATCAAGTAGTTTGGTTCAGATGTACAATATTTTGATCCTGTTGATTTCACTTTTAGGTGTTATATTTTTAGCCAGGGAGGAGGTAATAATCCTTGTCCGTAAGGAAAGACTAGTCTAAGGATTGGTAGTCACAATGCAAAAAGTTCTCACTGAGAATTTTGCTAAGAACCGGTGTTCCTGAAAGAAGTAGACCATAATCTATGGAAACATCCTTAATTTTGAGCTTCTGCATGGTTTTAACAGAAGTTTTCTTTATTGTAAGTTGGCATATGAGAATAGGCATGAGAATAAGGAGATGAGAAATGGGAGGATCCAAAGAATACCGTAGACATAATGAGAATCAGTCCTCTTTTATTTTCCCTTTTTTGTTTTTTGTATATGTTCTTCTGATTTTTTTTTTTTTAAACACCCTAGTCTAATTATTCCAAGGTTCTTTTTGAAAAAGGAGTCCTGAATGTTTTTGTTCCTTATAGAAATCTGTGATCTTTCTTTCAGTTTTGTCTTAACTCTGTGGGTAAGTCTTGATTCTATAATATGTTAGCTTAATTTAACAACACCTCTTACTTCTCTTAATGCTTTTTATTTTAAGGTGGGGTTTTTTTTAAGGTTATGTGGATTACGTTTGGTATTTGAGAACTTTATGACAACTTTGATAGCCTTAAATATCTTCATTTAATAACTATAACTGTACTAGAAACCCCAAATGACACCAAAACCATGGTAGAACAACGGTAGTAGCCATGTGTAGGGCCATTATGGATTTAGCTGACCACGATATAAGTTGCTTGAACACTTGTTGCATATGCAGTATAAAACATGAAGTATTTTTTCTGTCTTTTCCCCCTTCCACGCAACTTACAGGAGGCCCTCTTCATTGCTCGCTTTAGTCCTCCAAGCTGTGGTGTGCAGGTGAACAAGCTGTGGTACAAGCCCGTGGAGCAGTTCATCTTACCAGAGGTACAGCATGCAATGAAAAGACTGCAGTACCAGTGCAGTCCTTCATAGGTGTGTCTGTGTACTTTTAGGAATAGGCACTTGATATTTTGTTATATCAGGACAAATCTCCAGAGTGGTAAATGAGGAGACCAACTCTGGATATACTAAAATGTAGCACTCTGCATTCTTACCTCCAAAGAACTTCAAGATGCCTCAGAGGTTCCAAGACCACTCTTTTTGAAAAAAGTGCGTGTTGCCATAGGTAATTAGTGAAGTAGAGAACTGCAGCTATTTTAATGGCAAAGACTAGTGTTAAGTGTGGATTGATAGAAAGATCAGACATAGATCCCATTTGGGTTTACTTGTCTGAAGAATGCAGAGGAAAAATAAAGCAAGTGCAGACTGGATAATAGCAGAGAGATGGGCCATGTTTCCAGGTTCAATAAAATTTCTCTAAAAGGTGAACAGTTGTGGATGGTGCCTGAAAACATACCTGTCTCTCAGGGTTTGGTTTTAAATAGATATGTGCTGGAGACCAGCTCACCTGCCAAGTGCCCTAATCAGTCCTGGAGTTATATGGCTGGAGTGTATGACAGGCTTAGGCATGAACAGATTATATCCATCAACCTCAGCCTTTTCCAGCTAGTCAATCAAGGCTAAGGACATTCATGAGCTCTGTGCTCTGGAACCACAATAGGGGTCAGTTTTCCACACATCTCTGGGATTCACTTTAAATCAGCTAAAGCTGAGTTAAGATCTAGAAGCTAGACAACTGACCAGCCCTACTGACTAACCAAGAAACTTTTTCTTAAAACCAGTTTTGTGGGGTGCTTTTCACATTTGTGCAACACAAACCACACATTTTAATAATACACTGGATCTTTGTTTTGGAGTTGAGTACAAGTAATTGAAACTACATATGTTAATTCTGTAAATGTCAAAGGGATCTCCTTTCATCTGTATATGACCTTCCATTTAAAAAACTTTTAAATTAAGCCAAACTAAAACATACTGAGAGATAAAAAATAGGAGATGCGGGTAAACTAAAAGAAAACCATGAAGGCCATCAAAACCTCATAGTTTGGTGATAATCACATTTAACATTTTAGCTTCTCTGCATGTAAGGTTACTAGGGTTATACTGTTCATTCCATTATATAATTTACTTTTTTTTAAGCAAATAATGGACATCTTTTGCTATAAATATACTCCTTTTTTTTTCAATAGCTACATTGAATTACATTATATGGAAGTATTGTCATCCATATTTGGACATTGATGTGATGTATTTCCAATTTGTCAGTGTTAGGTCTAAAAAGGACTGTAGTGAACATCATTGCAGCTCTGCTTTGTATACAAATAACTGGCTATTTGCTTAGAATGAATTGTTGAATAAAAGAGAATACACATTTTTATGGCATATGATTCCTTTCTAGAGGGCAGTTTAGCAGTTTGTACTCATTTGAACAATGTAGTATATGAGGGTACCTGTTTTCCTACATCCTTTTATTCCTTATTTCGTTTATTAACTGTTTTTTCTTTTTAAGTGCAGTATGTACCATCAAAATTATCTTTTACTTGTAATTAAGAGCAGTGATTCAGTTAAGTAGTATTGGCCATGCACTGGATCTCAGTTTTTGCAGGAAGCCGTTCTTTAGTTTGTTCATTCATTTACTCAGAAAATATTTTTTGAGAACTTGCTATGTGCCAAGCACTGGAGCCATATCAGGATACAATATGAAGATCCTTACCCTTACAGCAACTTATATACTAGTAGAGAGAGAAGACTTAATGCTGATATTCTACTTAATTTACTATGTGCGAGGCACTGATGTCAGTGGTTTCCCTACATTCACTAATTGCTAAGCTCTTTTAGGATTGAAGCAAGTCAGTGGAGAGAGGCTTTCCTTTCTACTCAGGACTAGCATGGGCGGAACCTATCTCAGACTTTGTGTGATTTCCATAGGAGAGGAATGTTATTCCGAGGAGACCAGGAGCACTAGCATGGTATTTGTTGAGTGCCATCCAGAAAGAACTGAAGACCGAGGTAGGGTTGATTTTCACAGAAGACTTAATGAGGACGGGACTGGTATGATAGCTCATGCCCATAATCCCAGCACTTTGGGAGGCTGAGGCGGAAGGATTGCTTGAGTTCAGGAGTTTGAAACCAGCCTAGTGAGACCTCATCTGTACAAAAAATATTTAAAGATAAGTCATGCGCTTGTAGCGTCAGCTACTCGAGAGGCTGAGGCAGAAGGATCAAGGCTGCGGTGAGCTGTGATCGTACCAAAGCACTCTAGCCTGAGTGACAGAGTGGGACCCCGACTCAAAAATAAAACAACAAAGACTTGGGAGGAGTGGTCTGAGTATGTGAGGGCACGTTTCGGTGTGAGTGCCTGGGCGGCCGGGTTTAGGTGCAGCACAGATGACTTGGAATACCTGCTTGCCCCTTAATGGCTCTGTGACCTCGTGCAGGGTACTTAGCCTCACTGTGTCTGTTTTCTCCTCCGTAAGTTGGAGGTACTATATTACCCAATTCAGATGGTTGTTTTAAGGGCTTGAAGATTTAACACGTAAACAGCATAGAACTCCTGCCACATGGCAAGCAGCAGTAAATAAACATACACTGTCAGTGCTGTTGCTGCTTATCATCTGGATTTGGAGGATCCTATTCTTTAAGAGCAGCATTTCTTTACCAGCGTCAGTTTACCCCCCACCCCCGGGACATTTAGAAATGTATGGACCACTTGCAGTTAAAACTGGATGTGGGGTGATATTGGCATCTAGTGAATAGAGGGACAGAGATGATGCTGAATATCCTGCAACACAAAGGATAGCCACTCAAAATGTCAGCGGTGCTAAGCCTGAGAAACTATTTCAGAGGAAGGAGCCCCACAGTGTGAGGCAAAGAGGAAGAAAGTAAACTTTAATATTTCAAGCTGAGTAGTTTTACGAAGCTGGCTCCATTATCTTGGTCAGCCTTATAGAAATAATTACAAAATTTGATTAGTCCCTAAAAAATATTACTTTCCCTTAGAATGTCTTTGTTCTTAGGAAATACATGCTAAAATATTTCGTTAAAATGTCCTGATACCTGCATTTTATTTTCAAGTGATTCAGCAACAGAAAAGTATGTATGTAGACAGAGGGAAAAAAAAAAGCAGATGTGGCAAAATGTGAACAGTTGGTGAGTCTAGGTGATTTGAATGGTAATTTGAACTTTCCTGTAGGCTTGAAGTTTTTCCAAATAAAAATTGGGCTGGAAGAAGGGTTAACATTCCTTGCTGGTGTTCAGGATGGTATATCTGCTAGAGAGTACTAATCATGAAAAGTACTCAGCCAAAATAGGGAGTGGCCTTTGTAGATATTAAGACTTTTAATAACTATAGCCTTAAGATCTTTATTTCCCTTCAAACTTTAAGCTAAATAGATTTGGGGTTTTTTATTACTTTTGTGTAATATATTTCTTTTTAAAACAAGCAATTATTTAACGGGTAGGATTATGGATGATTTTTATTTTCTTTTTATATATTTTTTCTTTCTTTTTTTTTTTTTTGAGTTGGAGTCTCACTCTGACACCCAGACTGGAGCGCAGTGGCATGCTCACAGCCATCCCAGCGTCAACCTGCTGGGCTCTGGCTATCCTTCCACCTCAGCCTTCCAAGTAGCCGGAATTACAGGCGTGCACTACCATGCCCGGCTAATTTTTTATTTATTATAGAGACGAGGTCTCGCCAAGTTTCCTGGGCTGGTCTCAAACCCCCAGGCTCAGGCAATTCACTCACCTCGGCCTCCCAAAGTGCTGGGATTACAGGCAGAGCAACCAAGCCTGGCCTTATTTTTTACATGTTCTGTAATAAATATATATTAGCTTTATAAAAGGAAAAAGTAAACTTTTAGAAATAAAAAAAATTCTGTTGTTCAAGATTCTATTATTGTTGAAAATGTGTTCAATTTTACATAGATATTCTTTTTTTACTACATCAAGCCTGATTGGATTTATTCGCTCAGAAAAATGAAGAGAATGGTTTGTGGCATGTCATCAGCAAAGAATGACAGAAGGAGCATAGCTTATTCCATTGGAGAGGGGACGTATATGATTTGTTCATCATCTTGTCCCCTCCACACTTGATGGTCGCCTAGAGTAACGTGTCAGCAGTGTAGCTTATCAAGTAAGCAGATCTCTTGTAATGTTTTCACGCTCACTAAAGCATAAATCTCAGTGGGAGGTCACAAGTTTAAATGAATACTGCCATGTGTTCCTCCTAAAATATTTATTTCTCTAATTTTATATTTTCCTTAATAATGCAGTTGAAACCCGAAACTCATTTCAATAAAAAGCTGACTATTTTTGTTCACCTGAGTCACTAGAGACATTATTGTTAGCATTATGGACACTTATATGCTCATTTCTTACGGAAGTTGAAATTCTTTAGATGTATTCATTTCTCTAATCCCAAGAAGTTCTTAATATTTATAGGTACAAAAGTATTGTGTATATTTAAGCCACCCTGTTGTTTGAATGAGAAATCAGAAGTATAACATAAATGAATTAATGTATGAGCAGGATTGCAGATAGCTTGCTTATGTTATGGGAGAAATAATTTTTGATAGCTCATTTTTCCAATCTGTACCATGCTGTTTTTTCCTAACTTTTATTTTTATTTTATGGTCTTAGCAGGGGGTTGTTGCTAAACAAGTTATTTTACATCTTTTTAAAAAATATTATTTCAATAGCTTTGGAGGGGTACGAATAGTTTTTGGTCTGAGATTTAAGTGTACCCACCACCCCGCCTGTGCACGTTGTATCCCATAGATGATATTTTGTCCTCCCCCTTTTGAGCTTCCAGTGTCCATTATACCATTCTCCATGTCTTTGCATATCCTTAGTTTAACTCCCACTTATAAGGGAGAACATGCGATATTTGGTTTTCTGTTCCTGAGTTAGTTCACTTAGGATGATATTCTCCAATTCCATCCAAGTTGTTGTAAAAGACATTATTTCATTCATTCTGATAGCTG